TGCTGAAATTTTCTGGAAAACTGTCATGTTTTCTTAATCTTTCAATTCTAGACGAGGTTGCAGTTTTTGGAGCCCTGCAGTAATATTCTCATTCTTTAAAAAGGGGTTTTAAAAAAGTGTGTGTGTATGTGTGCATGTGTTTGGTAGGGAGGGGGTGGGAAGGGAATGTCCCTGTTACTGGAAAGCAGCCCACCCATCTGAGCTCCATCCCAGGAACAAACTTACTGTGATGGGAATATGGGGCTTCAGTGCTATATGGAGCAACTGGAAAGCAGAGGTACTCCAAAGTCAAGCGACAGGGTGAGCATCTGAGCAAAGAGGTGGACAGGACATGTGCTGCTTGGAGAATGAGGAGAAAAGAGCTTGTCCTTTCTGTGAGTAGTGCGATGGGTACAGCCATCCAGAGCAGTAGACTCGGCTCTTCGGGAGAGAGCTGACCTCTGTATGAACAAAAGAACGGCGACGCAGCCAGCACCATGAGGTCTTCCCTCCCCACCTGTATTTCCACCACTGCTGGTCTTGACCTAGCTGGGAAAGACCCTCTGTGCTGTGCTAGGCTGAGGCAGCTTTGAGCAATGTCACCCCTGCTATCAGCTTTCTTAGGAATTAGCTTGCTTTCCCTTCTCCTTTCATCATCTCTGAAAAGAGAGAAATTGTGGATTTTGCACTAGATGACGAAACATCCCTAAAGGTCCTGGGGAAGTTGAAGTGTCATCAGTCGGACAGAGACACCCGGTATGTCAGTAAGTGCACTGGGTTCGCAAGGTGTGTTTTCTCAGGTGGGAGTGTGGTGATGCTCGATACACTCACAGTACCTCAACATGACTTCCATGGCTACCCAGACAGGGACTTGGCTCTGGCTGCCCGAGACGACTTGCAGTGCTGTTCGGCTGAGGTGGTGCGATGTGGCCACAGCTCCAGCCTGAGAAGACGAGCGCACTAAGCCAAGACGGAAGTATGGAGACAAAGACCTTCCAAGGAGGGGCAAGCTGCTCACAATGCGGTCTGACCGTATGAGGCACTCTCACTATTGACACTCTGTGGATGACGGCTGTCAGGTATTCCACAGCTGTGCCACAAAATTTAAAAAAAAAAAAAAAAAAATCCATTTCAGTTGCATTGCAAAGCCACGGGCAATGTAGCCATACAAACACGGATAAATAGCAGAATAGCAGTTCTATCCTGGCTGGACAAACATGACCAGGAGCTGGTGATATTAAATAAACCTGTTTTAAGGCAGGCAGTAAAAGGCAAGCTTATGAAACTGAAAAGAAAACCATGAACTAGGTGTTCTGTGTGTTTTGTGTCTGCATGTGCTGTTGGACAGCTGGACAATGCAAGACAGGGCTTGGCTCCTAATTCAGTGTGGGATATCTCTGGGAAAACGGGCAGTTGCTGTGGCATCCTGCAGCACACCAATGGCATACAGTGGCATGCCAGGAAGGCAAGCTGAGGTTAAGGCCGATCTTCCTAGACCAGCACTTGTGCCTACCAAAACCAGAACTCGACCAGCCTTTGTGGAGCCACTAAAGGAAGCACTGGGAAGCTTGCACAGAGCAAGCATTGTGACAGCAGCGAGGCTACCAAAAGCGTCAGTAGCTAGTGCATGTGATAACTGCAGGTAAAGGTAAAATCTGTACTGCTCTAATAGCTGAATTTGTGAAGCCTATCTGTGGCACCAAGTAGCAGATGAATACTCAGATGGCATCGCATATATGGGTCCCTTTCTTAGTGCTAGGAAGTATTCAGAAGGATTTGGCCGAGGTATGTCACTGACCTGGGAATCTCTGGGAAGGGAAGTTAGTTTTCAGAAAGAGCACTTGTATATCATATTTCTGTCACATAGGCCTTGAAGGAGATGTTTGTTTACACTAAGTTTCTGTTTCTTTAGGTGGAACAAAGGACATGTTTTCATGACTGGTCTGTATGATTTTCTGATGTATGTGAGCTTATTGTGGTGTACATGACTATAGAGGCTGATAGAATTAGCTTATGTGGGACATCCAAAAAGTATTTAATAAACCATAGTCTGTTCAGTCGGATCTGTGAGTTGGCTGTGGCTGCACCAAATAAGAATGTCTCAAGTCTTGCAGTAGAAATTGCCTTTTTTTCTGAGTACAGATGGTTCAAAAAGAGTACTTCGAGACCTTTCTTCTTCAGTTACCTACTTGTTGGTGTTTTGCTCAAAGCTTGGTACTGAATTTCACCTCCTTGCAGGCTAAAAATCTTATTTCATCACCAGGAAAATTGTAGCAAGCTTCTCTAGCCTCTGGCAGACTATGCCAAAACGTGAGTGTGGGACGCAGGTTCTGCAGAGCCGGTCCCTATGAACAGGGTGTGAGGTCCCATCTGCACTCATTTTCAGGGAAGTGAGGACTTTACTGTGCCACCTCTAATTAGCCTGAGATGTAGTAGCAGAAATTGCAGAACAAAGAGTCATACTTTCCACTTTGCCTGAGCTGTGATACTTGAAGAAATTATTCTTGGAAGTGTGTCATGTCTAGTATGTGGAAGGAAGATGGGTGTCTGTGGGGGAAAGGCTGCAGGATGCCTTACCCACCTGGCACTGCCAGGGAGAAAGCAATGGATTCAATCCAAAGCAGAGACACTGAAATAAATATACTTCGTTATAATAAATGAGGTAACTAGTCATAATGTCTGAGACATTAATGGCTTTTTCTTCATGTGTTCAGATGCAAAACTATGAGAGGTCCCTCTAGTAAGAAAGAACTGGGCAGACTATGTAACTCAGGGAGGAGAAAACTAGCAGCTACATCTCTGTCCCAGGGAGAGAAAGATGTCATGTACATCATGTTTGAGGAACTACAGTTCTTCTTGTTTGTTTTAGCAAAATAGTCATTTTTTATTCTGTATAATTGCAGCTTCAGGAAGTTTTGCTTGTCCGGTTCAGAAATCAGTCATATCAGCAGTTTTAGCTTGGGTTTTCAGCTTGTTCCAGGGCATGTTCCCCAAAATCCAGCTTCTTTTAAAGTCTTTTGCATAGAACATAGTTTGCTGGGACAAGTTTCTATCACCAGTCATGGACCAGGGTGTGCAAAAGGTTGGTTTTAAATCATCTCTCTGAAAATGGACTCATATTCACCCGTTCTTGTTTAATTTTAACAAGTGCTTTTTTGTTTGTTTGTTTGCTGTGCGACCTGCACAGTTCTCATCAGTTTACTGCCTTCAGGAAAATTAAGATAGCCTTCAGTTTTCATTGCCCTGTGCAGAGAAGGAACAGCCGTCATTGACAAATGGCAGCATTTCCAGAGAATGGTCTGAGCTCAGCTGCAACGTAAACACTTCAGCTAAAGCAAACAGGTATCTGTCACGATGGGACGTAGCTGTGGCAAAACTACACCAGCTACCTTTCCCTCCCAGTTCCAACAGAAAATGACTCCCTGCACTTCAGACACGTCTGCCTCCTGCTCACAGACACTATTCTCCTGGTGCAGTTGTTAAAACTGTATGCTAAGGCATGTCTATTGAATAAATGCCAAAAAGTTGCTTTAGTGAATGATTAGAAGCCTATAACAGAATTCACGAGGTCAGTAGATTTGCTTTTGTACATGTTGCTTATCTTCTGTAATTCCTCCTCCTTTTGGTAATAATTAGCAGGCACATATTAATCCTGTGCATAATACCTATTGATAATTTTGGATGTACTTTCAAAGGTACCCCTACAGAGCATACCCAGAATGTCTCCTGGATTAAAGACCCTCTGCAACCAGTCCTAAGTCACCTCCTTAGAAAACACTGCATGTGCTTGCAGAGCATGAAACATGATGACTTTTGCCCATGGACTGGACTATCACAGCAGAAATGTGTGCCAAGATAGTCTGTGATGCTGTGAAAATGAAAGCACCAGGCAGTGACTGTGTGATCACCGGTGGGTGGTAAAAGCTTGTGTAAAATTCAATGCGGATGACTCTAGCTTGTTAAGCTTTTGTTTCCCCATGCATCTCCTCCATGGCCCTGGTAAGTATAACTGCATCCGCAGCTGCACTGCAATAGGGCACAGTTTCTGGGCAGGTGGTAGAAAATGGAACGTTTGCAGGGAAATTCCTATCATAGTAAAGAGCAGGATGATGGGGTTTTTAATAGTTCTTCTCTGCACATTTTCTGTTAAAACAGAAAAAAGCAATAGAAGTGGCATCCTATGTTTTCTGGTCTGAAAGGCTCAGGGTCTTTGGCAAGGAAACTAGGGCTGGTTGTCTTCCTCACTCAGGTCACAGACTGACCTACTCAGAAGGTGAACGGGGTTGCCCTCAGAGAGCCTGTTGCTGCAGAAGTTGGTACATGCATGTGGTGGAAGAGCTGAGTACTGTCAGCAGGAGAAGACACTAAAGAAATGGAATTGAGCATCAGTGAGCTGCTCTCTGCCTCATGTTCCTGCATGGTGTTAGGTGAGTCAGGGCACTCAGGGCTGTGCTTTTCCATTTCCGGATGCCCAGTTTTGAGCCCTCACGGTACGATGGAGAGAGATGCTGAGCACTCTGCTGAGCAATATCATCACACACAAGTCAGAGGGAACTCGATTCATGCTTCACAAGCATCCTCAAGTTTGCTTTCCCTTGCTACCGAGTGCTTGACTCTAGTCATCATAAAGCTCTTTCACTGTGAAGTCGATGCAAATGTGGAAGAAAAGACAGAAAAAGAAGGAAAAAGGAAAGAAAAACAGAAACACACAATTATGAAGAATAATCAAAAAGATTACTAGTCACGAAAGTCAAGAGAATGGTAAGAGAATTGGGTGGGGGCAGGGGAATATGAAATGGAACTGGAAAAATCCTTATAGTCTTTGTCCATCCTTCACCTAAGTCAGCAGTGAAATGGACTCGTGATATTTCAGAAAGAGGATCCTAGATGACAAAGGACACAAGAAAGGGAAGTGTTCTTCACTTGCATTCTGATTCCAGGAGTGTGAGGGTCTCTCACAAAGTGCAGGGAAAGGAGAACGGACCTGCACTTCTGGGAGAATGGGAGAACTTGTGCGGATAATGGTGTTTGCGATGGCTTTTGTCAGCTGCAACGGTGAGTAAATGCTTCAATGTATAAGAACAAAAATCAGAGTACTAAGAAGGTAGGGAAAATCTTTTGAATTACAGTGTCTTAATTTTTAAAAATTGTCAAGTGTGGAAAGTCTTTAGTTTCTTGTATGAAAAATAGAGTCTGAGAATTCACAAGAGTCTCCTTTGGTATCAGATACAAGGTGCTTGTAAGAGTGGAGCAAACAGGGCAGTATTGGGCAAAAGGTCAGCTCCCATGCCCCAAAGCAAGAACAAAACGGGATTGTTCAGGACCCTTGGAGAGGACCTGCTCTGGTGTGTTAGCTTCCAAAACAGTCTTTGTGAAGCTGGAATATGCATTCTTCTGGAATTTAATAATGCATCACTGTTGTTCTGCTAGCATGGTCCTGGGAAGAAGAGCTGTAATTGTGAGACTAGGTGCGGGCACACACGATTCCCCTCGGTCTCCCCTGATCTGCTGACTCTCTAGGTGCATTAGGAGACGTGATACTGGAATCTTTGCTTCAATTCACATGCCCGCGAGGCATGTGTGCCACTCCCAGGGCACATATGACACTGACACCAGCAGAGGAAGGTTTTGGGAAACAGGAGAAAGGTGCTTTAACAAGTTGTATACAGAAGCACAGAATTGCTCCTGACATTTAGTAAACCGGGTTGAAGTATGTTGCCCATTTCATCATCAAAAAACCCAGCTTTGCAGATTTCTGGGATCTGCCTCAAGCAACTTATTGTGAGTTAATGCAGCTGAACATAAGCAGTACCTCTCTGGGGAGGAGGGGAAAGGGGAGTGGGATAAGGGGCTGTGGGTAGAGGTGAGCCAAGTCCAGCTAAATTCGGGTAATTTGCTACTTATAAGAGGCACTTCCCAGAGGAGCTGTGGTCTCAGTGGGCAGACAGCTGGAGAGATTGGGAAAATGAGCCGGGTACCACAAAATCCGCCCCCTCTTCTCCTGTGCCTACTTGAGTGCTTGGCAGGGTGCTTATCTGGTTGAAGCAGCTATGATCCAAGAAATCTAGGTCAGATCTGAAGTTCTCTAAGGCTAAAGCAAAAAGATTGGGTTTGGTCCACTGTTCCTGTTCCAGGTCCAGTACTTCAGAGCAGATCCCTGAAGGCTCCTGCCAGCATGGCACTTCCGTGCCACCAGGACAGCTGGTGCTGGCAGGCTAGGAAGAAAGATGCTCAACCATTTTAGAAAATGGGACAGAATATAAAAGTTCTTTCCCCACCCCCCCATTATCATGCATTATAGATAATACAAATCCCTCTGATCAGTCTCCTAATCTCTAACATAGCCCTTCAGGTTTTCGCCTAGTCCAGCTCTATTTCCTGCCAGTGAGAGAATTCATTGTCTGGAAGACTACATCCCACTTTAAGAAGTGTCACTGGGAGGAAATACTTCTTTTAAAAATGCTGTCTCAGGGATTTTTATTCTGCTGAGTTTCTCCTGTTGCTTCCAATCAGCTCTCCTTTGGAGTCATCCCTGCTAATGTTGAAATTGGTCATATACAGAGTGCAGCTGCTCCACAGGGAATCAGTGGATGCTGGCAGCTATTTCATGGCACTCAGCAATGCAAAACAATATGGGTGAGATGTTTAAACAAAATTGTGTCCAGATGAATACACTGGATAGCAAACACACTTGAACCTGAGTGCATCGAATGCCTTGAGGGTATTTCTGAGCAGTTTTCTAAATAACTTCCACCCTTCTTAGTTTTTCTTGGTGGGAGTCTGTGAAAAGAGGAAGATAAATGAAAAACCTTTAAAAACTGATACATCAAGGAGTGACTGGAATGTGAGATTTAAAGAATGGAGCTGTGCCTGCCCTCTCAAAGTCATCTGGTGAAGGAAACCCAAAGCTCCATGTCAGAAGCAAGCTTCCCCTACGCTCAGCCCCAGCAGTGCCCTCGGCCGTCCCCGTGGACACAGATCCACAGATGCTTGCCTTCCCCCAGCTGGCACCTCCTGTTAGCTCTTGGGACAGGCTGTTGCACAGAGAAGTGCTTCTCCCCACACAGCTATACTGCTGGGTCCTGCGAGCACCAGGGAAGTTGCATAAAAAAATAGTGACATTAATGAACGCAAACATGTTGCATTCATTGTTAATTGCAGTGAAGCAGTAAACTTGCTTTGTTCATCCTTCCTCCCATACAGAAGTCAACACTGCAAGTGGTGTTGTCAGAGCATCCTGTGTCAGTGGGGGGAGGCCGTTGCTGTTTGACTCATCATGTGCAAGCAGCGTAAGCAGAAAGCCAAGCAGCAGAAGTAGGGTGTAAAGGCTGGCACTAGAGATCAGGAGTAAGAGATGCTCCTTGAGGTCTTCTGAAGACTGCTGCCACCAGGAGCAGGATTTGTGCCGAGAAGGAATTGAGAGCTGGCAAGTGTCCAGAGAGAAACAATAAAAATAGCCATGTGGTCGAAGCAATGGTTCACTTCCCTGTGCTCAGTGAGGTGCAGACAGGCCCTGGTGTAGCTGGCTGTGGTCTACAGCACATCTAAGAGATGGACGCATGCTGGCTTCCATCACCTAGTGATTCCCGTCTATCCTAAGGATGTTCTCCTCTTCTGCTGCATTCTTATTTCTTCCCTTCAACTGCTGTTCCCTGCAGCCCTCCTGGATCTGTCTGGTGTCCACCAGGTCATGGGCACGTGGATGGGATCCACCACTTTACCATGTACCTACACGCCCTCAGAAGGTTTCACACAGCAAATGCTCACCTGGAGCATGGAGCGAGACTATAGCACCTCTACCATCTTTCGGAGGGACGATTCTGGTGACCACATCTTGTTGTCTCGATTCCGAGACCGGGTCAGCATCCCAAAGCACAGCCCAGGGAACGCCTCACTCCTAATCGAGAACCTTGAAATCCCTGACAGCGGACACTACACCTGTCGAGTCGTCTGGAGGTCTAAAAATAACAGCTTGATAACAAAGGAGGTGACCACTACAGTTAAAGTTGTCAAAGGTAAATCCAGCAATAAAGCCCTGCTCTTGTGTCCAATCCACAGAGCATGTAGGAGAAGCAGCAGCTGGTGCGAATGGTCTTTCACACCATACTGTCTGCCCACACCCAGGCTGGGTGTTGAGGTATCCTCCTCCTTTGCGCGTTAGCCCTTCTCCACTCGTGGAGGTGTAGGGATGGACTGGGGAAGGGGGATCAGCTAGTATACACCCCAATCTGGATCTACCGATGGGCCACTTGAACCCATGGTGCTTGACATAACAGCCAGATCTGGTTTTGGTTTTGTGCAGGTAGCCAGCATCTCTGCGGTTCTTGTAGCAAGTGGCGCAGCAAGTGGGTGTTGTACTAGGCAAATCTGCCTTCTCCCCTTCCCGAGCACCCTCAGTGTGTGCTAGACAGACCTGTCTTTCTGCAAGAGGGGCACCCACTCAACAGAGCAGGACTTGTGTGATATGGCAGTAGCAATGGTGGCATAGCTGGTGTAAACCTGGCTTTAGGCACAGGTGAACCGAGCTTAACCCGTGCAGAGAGGTGATGTGAGAGTGGTGCCCCTCTCCCTCCTGGGAAAGCACCGAGAGCCAGAGCAAGAACGGCCACGGAGGAGGGGGGGACGCCCCACC